AGAACCCTTCCAGTCTTCAATGAAAACATTCTTCGATTGATCCTTAAAGATGAGGCGGGGAGTTGAGTTGGAGAACTAACTGCTCTCCAGTCCCTTCACTCTCCTCACCCTCACAGTGGAATAGGGGATGAGATGTGCACCTGACAGCATTTTTAGTATATGGTGAACATAATAAAATAAAAATGTGTGTCTGTTAATTGAGGCCTTGAAAATTCAGTGCCCTGTGTTTATTTCTGCTAACTATGCAAATAATAACAGCAATTTACCGAGTGCTTATTAAGAACCAAGGATTTGAATTCATTAGACACTGAGTCCTTTGATCATCAGACGAGTATCCAATACCATTTTTACAACAAGCCAAAGGGTTGCAAAGGTGGGCTTCAAACTTTGAACTGCCCAAGCCAAGTCACCAGTTGACCTGTATACATGTAATTGTATAATCACTCATATTGGACATTAAACCTCCAGGATTGATCCGTCAGCCCTGGCTCTTTTGTTTAGCTGGAATGAAGTTACCTTGACATATATCCTAATTCCTACGAACGGCACCACCAGCCCCTCTAACGGATGAAAAATAAGTGAGTGACCCTGCAAAGCTGGTCCTCAATCAGAGACAATATAGACATTTCCTAAGAAGTCTGTTCTAAAATTTCAATTTAGTTTAGGGTCAGTGGGAGGCTCATTAAGGAGCGTTGGTAGTATCTTGATGAAGTCCTCTGCTGCGGACCAAAAGGTCAGCGGTTCGGACCCACCAGCTGCTCCAAAGGAGAAAGGTATGGCAGTCTGAGAAGCTGTAGGGCATTTCTACTTTGTCCTATAGGACTTATAGGAGGGAACATTTGACTAAACAGCAATGAGTTTGGTTGCGGGGAGGGATATGATGGCCTTTGACCTCCCTCGAGAACCAATTGCAAGTCTGGTGGGGGTACCGTGTTGATCACAGTGCTCCCAACTCTATTTCAGAGCAGACAGACTTTCTGCACTCCCCGAAAATAGGCCAGGGGTACCCATCGGCAAAGTGGTCTGAGGTCCTTCTACCTCCTAAGCCTTCCAAGGGTTCTTCCAGCTTTGGGGAACCAGGCGTGGCCAGCCAACTTCGGAGACCAGCCATTGATGTGTCAATGAGAGATGTGCGGTTTGGAAGGAATGCTCGGCGGGGTGGTACACCCTGCTTGGGGATACTGCTGTGCTGTCACAGGCTTGGCCTGCTGCTTGCGAGTATTCAGTGAATAAGGAAGCACCATCCTCCCCACGCCGCGCCGTCTTCCAGTCAAGAACCACAGCAATTGTGCTTAGGTTCTAAGTTCCTGAAACAGCAACAAAGACCACCATTGCCAGGTCATTTCTGACTCAGGGCAACCCCATGTGGGTAAGTCAGAAAGCAGGGCTACAAAAGTCATTGAAACTTGTTAGACAAAAATATCAACAGGCAAAACTCGTGTCTCTTGACATGTCCTCCAGTGTGGCCATCTTTCTAAGGCCATCCTGAAGAATCTCCATGCTCTTCCATTTGCGCCGCAGTAAAATAACAGTTCTTCTAAGGCGCTGCTGGGCTGGGAGTGGGGGATGTAAACCTTTGTTTGCACTGATCAGGGATGCTGAACGACTGAAGTATCCTGAAGTTTTGCCTACAAGAAGCCTTTGAGAAAAAAAAAGTAGGCTTTGAGAAACACTCCTACCCAGACTGAGGCTGCCAGCCACTCTTCCTGGGGCTGAATAGCCCTCTCCTTCCCCTCTTCTCTACAATCACCCCAAACCCAAACTCATGGCTATCAAGTCCATTACGACTGGACTAGTGGGAACCCCATAGGGCAGAGTAGAGCAGAACTGCCCGTGGCTTTGAGACGATCACCCTTGACAATGGGAATAGAAAGTCTCGTCTTTCCTCCTCTGAGTGCCTAGTGGTTCCGACTGCTAACCTCAGCATGAGCGGCCCAACTGGTCACTCAGTACACCCCCAGGACTCCTCACACAGCAGTTCCTTCCAGTCAGCCCCTACATTGATGGTTAGACTCCAGTTCTGGGCTGTCAATTACAATCGTGGAGGGGAGAAGATCCCTCTAAACTCTAGGCCCAAGAGTATCTGATTGCAAATGATTGTTGCATCATGGTTACGACAAGGCACACTTTGAATTCAGAGAATAGGGAATCACTTTCCATCTTTCCCTTTTCACCACGTAGCCATCTTAGCCTCTTTGGATCTATGTTCGTATCTATACAAAGAGTGGATTAAAGGTCACTGGCGAATAAGATAAAACAAATAAAGTTCCAGACCATACTCTGCACGCAGTGTGTGTGTGTGTGTGTGTGTGTCAAATAGTCTACAAGCAACAACTAACCACAAGCTAAAAGTGTGCGGTACAAATGCATACAGCTGTGCTGGTGACAAGCCGAGAAAACCCTATAAGCAAGTTCTATCAATCCTAAAGCAGTTCAACACAGAGGTTACTACAAATCGCAGTCCACTCTAGCCAGTCAATTTGCATTTTAAAAGCTTTCTTAAAAAAAAATTACTGAAGTATGGATCCTATAAAACACCCACAAACCCCATTAATTCCAGCTCATAGTGACCCTATGGGGCAGAGTAGAACTGTGCAACAGGAGTCCCAAAGGAGTGATCTTTACAGAAACCAAACAAAGTGCCACCTCTCTCCCACCTCGAGTGGCAGGGGACCCAGTGAAGGTCTTCTGGTTGAGCAAAGGCTTAGTCACCAGGCCACCAGGGCTCCTAATTTATCTATTTAGACTTACCTTCTTCCAATCTTAATTAAAAGCATTATTTGTACCAGGCAAAGTGTGCAGTTTAAAATTGGTAATTTCACACTAAACTAGGAAGGGAGGGGAGGCCATAGAACATTACTATGAAGTGTTCAAACGTACTATTATAGAGTTGATTCCAACCCAGACTGACCCTAATAGGACAGGGTAGAACTGACCCCCTGGCTTTCCAAGAATGTAAATCTTTACAGGAGTAGAAAACGTCATCTTTTTCTCCTAGAGGAGCTGGTGGGTTCAAACTATCCACCTCGAGGTTGGCAGTTCAACACATAACCTACCATGCCACCAAGGCTCCTTGAGGTGTGTACAAACCGGCCTTTTTTACAGACTGGTAACACTGAAGACTAGGACAGACGTTAAGCCGGCGGAAAAGGTAGTGTCAGGACTGGTATTTGAGCCTGGCTACCCCTTTTCTCTGGTTTGTGGTGACCATTCATTTTCTCAGGTTTTATTTAAGAGTGTAGAATGCCCTCTAAATAGGTGCTCAGTAAGCTATTGTTGAATTAATGGAGATCGTTCGCTCCTATCCAGCTCTTGTCTCCCACCCTAGTGGGTGAGGAGGAGTTTGAAATTAGGTTGACCTCTTCCCATTTGTAGCAGTCTTTTCAAACGTGGTAGCCTCTCAGTAATACAATGCCAACTCCGTCAGCCCCTTGAAAGCGCCCAGGTAGGTTAATCTTTGAATTATGATTCATCTTCCTTTTCCTGTTTTGATGGAACACGGAGAATTAACCATCCTTTCAATAAAAGGGTCCAATTTCCACCCTGTAAATTTGCGAGAAGAGGACAGTGTAATTGGCTGACGTGCAGGTGGGATTTCCTGTCGCCATTTTAAGGAAACACGCCTCCACGGCCAGGAAGTGCCCAGCCAGTTAAAAAAGACCAATGCTGTAACAAAGAAGGAACCGGGCCCATGCGCGCCCTGCATCTGGCTTCCCCCATCTTCCCCAGGCCCCCGGATCTAGAGCGCCCCAGTCCGGTGAGCCCCGGCGCGCCAGGGCAGCGGGCCAGGAGCGGGCTCCGGGCCGCTTCCCGCCCAGCCTGGTGCGCGCTCCGAGCCCCGCACCTCCTGCAGGTTACGTCCTATCCAGTTCCCAGAGTCAAGCTCCATGCGCTGACCCCGGAGGGGCTGCCAAGGGCGCCAGGGGGCGGCGCGCCTCCCGCCGCGGGGCAAACAAAGGCCCTCCAAGGGTGTTCCGCCGCAGCTCCTTCTCCCACCGCCTCCGCGGCTATCCGGTCCCCTTGCTTCCAGCCCGGGTCGCCACGAGCCCGTCCCCCGAGCCGACACACTGTCCCCTTGAGCTACCCGCAGCTCCCAGCACCACCAGCGCAGCTCGGGGACCCGCCACCCTCGCGGCCATCCTGCTGCTGCTCCCTTCCCACAATGCAACTCCCCTCGCCGCGCTCGCCCTGGCTGGGCTGCCGCTCAGCCGCAAGTGTCCCCCAGCGCCCAGCCCGTCCCCGCCGCCCGCACCTCCCC